TCCGGTGACCGAATAAGGAAGCTGAAAGATTAGTTTCAGGTTAGTTTTTAATTTGAAGCAGACGAAGGCTGCGTGTGTGCAGAGTCCTCGCGTGGGGAAAGTCACCACCGCCTGTGACATCAGTGTGATGTAGTTGCTGCTGTAGTTTCTTGAGGAAAGAGAAAAGAGGAAGCAGTTCCGCCCAGAAGCTGACTGCAGGCCGACGAGAAAAGAGCCGAAAGAAGAAAAGAAAAGGCGACGGCGACTCGCTTCAGCCCGCTTTCAGGCCGAACTCAGCAGAAACCCGTCGGTGCGTGTTTTTGTGCTGCGTGGACAGCGGAACTCCGTCAGGACTTTGCTTTACAGGTGTGGCCCCGAGTCCGTCGTTCGCGCACCAAACTTCATTTTTGAAAACCGTCCATGTTGGTGTCTCCTTACAGTGAGCAGGCTTACTGCGAGAGCGGGATCTAACGCGCCCGTGAGGTCCTGCTGTGAGCTCGGAGACGGTCTGGTCCGGACCAAAGAGCCGAACATGAGTGGAGACGAGGAAAGATTCAAACTGGTGGTTGTGGGGGGAGGAGGAGTGGGAAAGAGCGCCCTTACCATCCAGTTCATCCAGGTACTGACTCTACAACACGTGTAGGACATACTGTGGACCTGTCTGTAGGTTAATGCGTCGATCCACTGGTGGTCGATCCACTGGTGGGTCGTTATTGAGCGGTTATTTCCACGAACTCAACCAAGGTTCAACAAGTGACCTGCATTTGGAACAGATGAGCTGTTAGTGGTTAATGGTTTACCACCCATGTCTTATTCAGCTATTGAGCAGCAGTTAAACTAAAACAAACCAAACTAGCAGACTTGTCCCTCCAGATAAAGTCATTCATTCTCATTTAAGTTAGAATCACAATAAAAACAGTCAAGACTGTAATTATGCATCTGAAACCACCTTGGCCCAGCGGGTCATATTTAACTTGTTTATCTATACCTGATGGTGCTTCACTATGCTGCAACAGTGTTTAGCCTGGTGTTGGTAACCTGATGTACTGAGGGAGGTAACAAAAGGATGTAGGTAGTATGTTGCTGGACATGTGTAACTTTGCTGGATATAAATGACACGTTACTGTTAGATGACGGCTGGGGAACATCGTGATGTCACGGCCTCCAGGGACTAAGTTGAGCAGGAGTGCCAAGTTTAGGTTGCTCAGTTCCTGATCACATAGGAGGAGTAGGTGGAGAAAGAAACAGGGATTCTGTGTAATACAGTAAAATAGGGATTATCTATGAAACACAGAGTATGACAGTAGATTTCTCTTTGAAATATTTTTAAATACTTAAACATGTTACCAGTGCACTTCGGTTCTGTTCTGTTAATGTGTCGCTGGGAATTGTTCTGAGTCGGTGCTTCTGCTTCCACTGTATGTAAGTTTCATTACCTCGGGCAAGCTTTCGTTGCACTCTGTTTAACACAACAAGCTCTTCATTAAACTGGCTGCCTGATGAACGGCTCCGGCTGTAGTCACTGAGCACTGTAGCAGTAAATAGTGTACACTGAAGGAGAGGTACTAACGTGGTTACATATTCAGTCTAAACTTAATAATTCTCTAGGAACTTTCCATCATTGTTGCTGCATCACTTTTGTTCTCGCCAGCTGTAAATAATATAAATAAATGCCTGTTAGGCACTAGGCTTGGTTATGAGAGGTGTAAAACAAGCTGTTCAGTCTAGTGTTGATGTTAATAACTCGGAGTGTGTTCCACAGTCGTACTTTGTGTCCGACTACGACCCCACCATTGAAGACTCCTACACCAAGATCTGTACCGTGGATGGAAAGGAGACCCGGCTTGACAGTAAGACATTACACTGGAGATATACATGTCCTCATTCACAGTGTCAGAGTAATTGCAGGGTTTGGAAAAAGCTTTGTGTGAAAACAAAGGGTGTGTTACATTGTGATGTGATACAGGCAGTGTGTTTGCTCTCTGGATGTTTCATTTCCCTTGTTAGGACTTGTTAGTGGGCTGGTGCTGTCAGTGTGCTGGGCCACGCCGTTCTTTCACCACTTATTTGTGAATCATCAGACACAGCAGAGGCGCTGTTTGTAAGACTTTTCCTCACCGTTCACAAACATCTTACCCTAATTGATACAGTTTAGTGATTTGTTTGGTGAATGCAACAGTAGAGAATCGGTTTTAGTGAAACCACTAAGAAAAACACTTGTTTCCTTAGTGGGTGACTTTTATGACACAGAACAAGTGAAACTTCAGCTTAATGTTACAGATGTTCTGTTAGCAGTTAACCATGTATACTCTATATTTTGAAAAGGTTGATTCTGTTCATCTGGACGTTTTCAGTGGTGGTTTTCATCCAGGTGTTTATAAGGTTGGAAACCTGCCGTCAGCTGGGAAGAAGTCAGCTGATGATGACGAAACGTTTCTCACACTGAAAACGTCCAGAGAATCAACCTTTGGGACTTATTTACCTGGATGATTGAGCGTGCATCAAGACATGTATACACTATATTAGCAAAATTATTTGCTAGTCTGTCTACACATGTGTACGAAGTTGGGTGACATCCTAATCCATGGGTTTAATATGATGTTGGTTCACCGTTAGCGGCTACAGGAAGGCTTTCCACAAGTGTTAGGAGTGTGTTTATGGGTCAGACACTGATGTTGGCTCACAGTCTCTGCTAATTCATCCCAAAGGCGTTCCCTCCCATTGAGGTCAGGACTCTTTGCAGGCCAGTCACGTTCTTCCATCCGTGTAATGCAAAAACTTGCTTTGTGACTGGTGCATAGTCATCTTGGAATGGGGAGGGGCTAGGGCTGTTCGATATAACCATATATATCGTGTGATGATATAAAAACATAGTTTCATTTTACGCTATCGTTTGTTTCGTGGTGTTGCAAAATAAACTGTTTACAGCAATATTCATGTTTTTGATGTCACTGTAGTGGCTTTATTAATTTCTTAAAGTTCTCTCTTTCTCTTATATTTAATATAACCACACTACGCCTGTTTTTATGCGTCGTCGTTAGCAACAACGACGGTAAAACCATCGCATGTCCGCTTGTTTATGTTCCACATAAACCTTTCACAATAAAGCTCAAGATCCTGTTGAGACTTTTCAAAATAAACACAGTCACGTGAAAAAGTATGCAGAGTATTTACGGATGAGAAGTAAAAAAGACGCCAGGTGCTAAAAAATCAACCTTAGACTCAAACGTTAGAACAGGCTTTTCCCCGCAGCACGCCGTGTAATAAATACTCACAAAGAAAACGGCGTCATGTCAAAAATGTGTCGTTTCATGCATCGTTAAAACACTCGACGCCGGGTACACGGCGCCTAGCTGGAAACACGTCACCTACCGGAGATTCACAGAATTTACAGAAAATATTATTTTTTTTGTGATTTATATCGTTATAAGGACGATGGAGGTTTTATATCAGGATATGAGAGTTTGGTCATATCGCACAGCCCTAGGAGGGGCCATTGTCACCCACAAAGTTGCGAGCATGAAGTTGTGCAAAACGTCTTGGTATGCTGCAGGATTAAGATCACTGGAACTAAGTGGCTGAGCCCAGCTTCTAAAAACAACCCTACACTATAGTCCACCAAACTTTGCATGTGGCACAATGCAGTCTGATTAGTAATGCTTTCCTGGTAACCACCAAACCAGGACTTATTCATACGTTTGCCAGATTAGTCATTGCAGAGAACACGTCTCCGCTGCTCCGGAGTCCAGTAGTGGCGTGCTTTAATACCACTGCATCCCCCATTTTGTAATGTGCTTGGTGATGTAAGGCTTGGAGGCAGTTGCTCACCCGTTCCATGAAGCTCTGTATGTGCTGTTCTTGAGCTAATCTGAAGGCCACATGAAGTTTGGAGGTCTGTAGCAGTTGGAGAAAGTTGCCAACCCCCATGGGCCTCATCTGCTGACCCTGCTCTGGCTGTGTGCTAGAATATGCACACTTATTTTAGAATACAGTGTCATGTATGTACATTAGTGCTAAATCAAAACAAATTCTTTATTATCCTGTAAATTAAATCCTGTATTTAAAGAAAGAAAAGTGTAGTGTGATGTGTAAGTCTCCACACTGATGTTTGGTAGATATTACCACGTGTGGCTGTAACTGCAGCATCACACTATAATACCACGTCACTGTACAACATTTAGCAGCGAGAAAATTTCACCACTGCAGTTCAGTTCAATGTCTTTTATATTTTATATAGCACCAGTTATATGTACAACAGTTGCTTCAAAGTGCTTAAATCACGGTGCTGCAATTCAGTGACCTCCTGAGAGCAACCCATCCTTTCACAAAGTGTTCGTAGACGTGCTCAGCATGTTGGGTTTCATACACCTGAGGCTGTAGAAGTGATTGTACCAATGATTTGGATGGGTGAGTCAATACTTTTGGCAATAATATAGTGTGTGTCTGTGAATACTATGTATGTTTTGTATTTATGTGTATATGTGATCATGTCTCTGTGCATCAGTCTTGGATACAGCAGGTCAGGAGGAGTTTGGTGCGATGAGGGAGCAGTACATGCGGTCTGGAGAAGGCTTTTTACTGGTGTTTGCACTCAATGACCGCGGCAGGTACGTGTGTGTGATGTTTGTTTGTATGTCTCTTGTATAGAGTGCTATAAAGTTATACTCTAGAGCTATGTACACACGACGTGGCAGCTAGAGACCATAGGAAGCAAGTGACTGAAGTGACTACGAGTTAGCATTAACAATAGAATAGCCTTTTATTGTCATTGTACATGTACAAAGAAATTATGGGTGCTCCATGTCCACCGGGGCCACGCGGGCGCCTGCCTGCCGGGGCCACGCGGGCGCCTGCCTGCCGGAAAGGAAAGTGCTTGGTTGGAGGCAGCACAAAGGAAAGACTTGGTCTGCATAGAGTCCGTCTGTGGTTGGCCTGAAACATGAGGGTAACTGAGACCATGGCTCAGGTTGGTGAGGTGGGTGGGCAGGGGGGGATAGTGTTTGTTAACATGGCCCAGGGTACGCAGCTGTTAGTGAGTCTGGGGGTGTGGGATCCAGACTGAAGACCAAATGGACTGA